CTAATTGTTCCATCTCTCTACCAACATGTGGTGTTGCCAGTATCCTCACGTCAGTCAGTCTGTTGGGTGTGCAGTGGTACCTCACTTTGCTTTCACTTTGCGTTTCTTTGATGACTTTTGGGTGTTAAAACACTTCTTCATGTGCTAATTGGCCATTTGTGTATCTTCTTTTGCAGCATGTTCAAATCCTTTCCCCATTTTTTTGTTTTGGGTTTTTTGTTTGTTTTTTGGTCAAAAAACTATTTATATTTATTTATGTATTCTGGAATTGAGTCTTTTATAAGCTGCATTTTGTGAATATCCCCCTTTTCCTCTACCATGGCTTCCCTATTCAGTGTCTTTTTTTTTATTATTTATTCATTTTTTTTAATGGGGATTTTTGCTGAGTGGAGTTGTTTTTTTTTTTAACATTTTTGAATGAATTTTTTTTTTTTTTTGGTGAAGCTTTAGCTTTTATGCTTAGGCCCATGAGCCATCTAAAATTATTTTGGGGGTTATGTGGGTAGGGGTTGTGATTTATTAATTTTTTAGAAGAATATCTGCTTGTCCCAGTATGATTTACTGAAGATTTTTCTTTCCCAGTGGATTACTTTGGAGTCTGTTGAAACTCAAATGATTTAAAAAAAGTTTTTATTGACGTATAGTCAGTTAACAATGTTTTGTCAATTTCTGGTGTACAGCATAATGTTCTAGTTAGACGTATACGTACATATATTCCTTTTTATTTTTTTCATTATAGATTATTACAAGATATTGAATATAGTTCCCCGTGCTATTAAGTAGAAACTTGTGTATGTATTTTATATGTTGTAGACAGTATCCGCAAATGTGGAACTCCCAATTTATCCCTTCCCACCCACATCCTGCCCTGGTAACCATAAGTTTGTTTTCTCTGAGTCTGTTTCTATTTTGTAAATAAGTTCATTTGTGTCTTTGATTTTTATCTCTAGACTTTGTCTTCTCTTGCAATGACTTCAGGTACTATTTTGGAAGTAGTTTCTCCCAATTTTGTTTTGTTAATCTGTTCAAAGAAGAGATTTTTTTCCTCTGTTGTCTCTTCCTAATTCCTGTTGTTTATTTACTTCCTTCTACTTACTTTTGGTTTATTTTACTCCCCTCTTCCCATCTTCTTAAGGGTTGGGTGTGTGGCATTGTTTTTTTTCTTTTTCCTTTCATCTATAAACATCTTAAAGCTGTAACTGTTCTGTTAATTACTGCTTTAGCCTTACTCCACAAGTTTTAATATGTTGTATTTCATTCAGTTTGAAACATTAAAAAATTTGATTTCTTCTTTGACCTATGGAATCTTTACAAGTGTTGTTATAGTTTCCAAATATTTATTTTCGTGATGCAGGGAAAAACGTATGTGGGGTGTGAGGAGGGTCCTCGGTTGAGCCCTTGGGACCTGCCTGGCCAGGAGTAGGTTCTTGGCTTCAAGCAGGAAAGAATTAAAGAGTGAGCCACAGTTGAGTAAAGGTAGATTTGTTTAGAGAGATACATACTGCATAGAGTGTAGGCTGTTCACCAAGAGAAAGGCCACAAGGTGTGTGGGTTGGGTGCTTAGGTTAAAGTAAGAGTAGGTACGCACTCCCTAGACAGTGCGGGCCATCTCTGAAGAGGAGGGAGCCAGAGGGGGCCACGAGGTGCCGTGCGTTGCCAGTTTTTATGGGCTCCTTAGCTTCATAAGTTAACTGGTGGGAGGACCATCCTAACTACCCTGGGGAAGGGGCTGGGATTCCTGGGAATTTGGCCACTGCCCACTCTTTGACCTTTTACAATTAGCCTTGGAGCTGTCTTGGTGCCTGTGGGCATGTTATTCATGTTATTCATGCTAATATATTACAGTGAGGATATAATGAAGCTCAAGGTCTACTCGAAGCCAAACCTCCCACCATCTTGAGCCTCAAGGCCTAATGGGAATTGAACTTATGCCATTTTGGTGTTAATTGCTGTCATTCCTTGAATGGCTGTGCCCTGCCCTCTTCCCTCCTGTCTCAGTCAGAAGCAAGCTCTGTAAGCTTTCCTTTTTTTTTTTTTTTTACAAATTTATTGGGACTTTTATAGTTCATCAAAATAGTCTGTTTGGTATATGTACCGTTTGCACTTGAACGTGTATTCGGTATGCAGTGTTCTATAAATGTTTATTTAAGGTGTTAATTTTGTTTATATATTTTATATCTTAATGTGTATCTCTTCTAAAGAGCATATGTTGGGATCTTGTTTATTTTATCTAGGGTGAAATTCTCTTTTAATTGGAATGTTGACCCAATTTATTGATGTGGTTGGATTTATGATATGGTTAGATGTTAAGGTATGTTGTTGTATCATTTGTTTTCTGTTTGTCCCATCTCAGTTTGTTTTGTTATTACTCTATTCCTCTTTTCCCACTTTATTTTGGGTTAACTATTATTTTTTTCTGAAGAACTCTATTTTTATTTTTTGCCTTTTTTTAAAAAATTCCATTTTGCATCATTTTGATGGTCCTTCTAGGCAACATACATTCTTACCTTTTTGCAGTCTAAGGCTACTAAGGGTTAATAATGCAACGCTCGGAAGTTTTAAGAATCTTTAAACTGTATATGGAGTTGTACTCTCCCCTCCGCTAGTCCTTTATACAGGTTACAAGTTTGTATTGTGTCTACGTGTGTTGTAAGTTGTACAATACAATGTTATAATTTTTGCCATAGACAATCACATTCTTTAAAGAGAGTAAATTTTTCTTACATTTACCCACATTACTATTTTTCATGTTTTGAATTTCCATCTTGTATAATTACCCTTCAAGCTGAAAAACTACCATTTTTATAGTGTGGTTTTATCTGAAAACGTCTTTATTTTGCCTTTATTCCTGAAGTATATCTTTGCTGAAAATAGCAGCTTTTTTTCCCCCCAACTTCACAGGCCTGTCATTTCTGTATCTATAAAATCTGCCAAGTGGGCCAGGTCAGTAGTTCTGTGCATTTTTGGAGACCTGGGTTCCTCAGACTTGCCGTATAGCTGGTGCCTTTGTTGATGAAGAGGTGGAGGTGGGAGGGAAGGAGTAGAGCTCAAGTTCTGTGGTCTGTTCCAAGCCATGATATTTTATGATTCTATAATAAGTATAATGTAGGGCAGAATTACTTGTTTTTTGGTTTTTAAAATAGCTTTTCTCTTTCTTCCTTTCTTTCCTTCTCTTTCTTTCTCTCTCCCTTTCTCTTTCTCCCTCTCCCTCTCAAGAGGCTGACTTGCTTGGCACCTCCTCATTGCTGTCTAGGCCTTCAGGTCTCAGACTGTAGCATCATCTCAGACATTTTACTGCCTACCCCCTTGCAATAATGCAAACTGATTTTCTGTATGTGCGATATTCCAGTTTGGAGTCACTGGATTTGGCAGAGGGCATTTCTGTTTGTTTAGTTAACGTCGTTCACATACTCTGTTATGTACAGCTTGTTCTCATCACATGACAGTCTTGGCGCAGACATCATGTATCTAGAAGGTGGCAATCCCTATTGCATGGTATTTTGGGGAATTTCTTACATCTTAAAAGTTGGTCATTTCATCACACATTTTAACAATATCCAATTTTCACATGATTAAATAATTGTTAACATATTATTTCACAGTAACACTGTGAAGTATTTAACTGCCAGTTAACTGCCAGCATTTAGTGCTTCTCTAATACTTTTCACATGTTAGTCTATATACATTGTTTGGTATTCTGTACTAAAATTTCAAAATGAGTTTAGTTAAAAAAGGGGGGATAGTAAGGGGATAAACTTTTTTTCTTTGATTTTTTTCTTGCACTTAATTTTTTAAAATTCCTTTTTCATCATTTTTCTTTCTTCTTTTTGGTGGGGGGAGGTAATTAGGTTTGTTTATTTTTAGAGGAGGTACTGGGGATTGAACCCAGGATCTCCTATATGCTAAGCATGTGCTCTACCACTCTACCCTCCCCCTTCATCATTTTTCTTGATAGCCATTTTACCCGTATTTGTGTACAAGTGTGCTTACTGATTTTCTTTTGAAGCCTCATCCTGTATAGTCTTTATTCCTTGCTTACAAAAATATATGAGCCAGCTTTTAAGGAAATCCAGGAGAATAAACACCACAGCCAAGACTGTAGAGAAACTTCTGTGCAAACACTTGGTCAAAATTAAACAAAAGCTCTGTGATTGGACCTTTTCCTCATTTCATATAAACAAACATGCTTTGTGTCTGGCTCTGGAGATACATCCATGAGTAACACTAGAAATACTCTTCTCAGACCTTTGCTGGGAGGAGAGGTGCAGCTTGGTCTCCAGGAAGAGATTTCTAGTGAAATAAGATGTCCAAAGTGACCACATGAGAACTTGTCTGTGAATTATGGCCCCTTTTTTTGACTGATGCGTATTGACACTTTAGGGTAGGAATATCAGCTAATACTTGATGAGATGTGTAATCAGAATTTTGACATTCTTCAGAGGTTAACAAGAGCAGCAGGGTTCTGCTGTGAAATGTGTCAGATCACTCACAAATCAGCTGATTGTGTGAAGGTTTATGTGACTTCCTTACATACCCTGTTGAGGTTCACTGGTCACTTTCTAAGCATTCTGCCCTGGGGAGGAGGAATCTTCAAAATATTCTGTATAGATAGGTTCAGATCTAGAAAAGAAGGTATCTAGACTGTTCTAAGGAGATTTCAGAACATCTCCCACTTAACAGACTAATTAGACAGGCGTTAAAAATCCTTAAGAAGTGGCTTGTTTTTAGTGCACAGCAGCAGAACGGAGGAGGGAACTGAAGAGATTTTTTGTTTTTATTTTCTTTTGTAATTGCTTATTTATCCATAAGTTAATGGAAGGAATGAAAACTGGTTGAAATTACGTGCCTGTTATTGACAGGGAAAACTTCAGTTTTATGCTTTCAGTTGGATTTTTTTTTTAGTAAAAAATCTTGGTACATGTAAGGGAAAACATCCA